GTGTATTCACTCTCTTTCCTAAACGGCTTGTTGGAGCTCCTGCCCCCCCCCACTCTGTGAGCCCAGTGGCCGTCTGCGAGACAGCGAGACACAGCGAAACCCAGCCCGAAACCCAGCCTCGCAATGTCCCGCAGAGTGTGTGTTTGTGAGGAAGTCCGCGGATTGGTCCAAATTTAACGGCTCCGCAGACGTTACGTTACTATACCTGAAATACGTCACTATACCCAAGAAGTAAACAATGGAAAAAGAGAAATCCCCAACGAGGCGTTCTGGGGNAATCCTTTTGCGGATCATGAAATACAAGTGTGAATCCTTCTGTGTGCATGTAAGTAAGTAAGTAAGTAAGTAAAGTTTATTTATATAGCACTTTTCACAGAAAGGATTCACAAAGTGCTTCACAGTGAGATCACGATAAAAAGGAGAATACATGGTGTAAAACAAGGAACACACAGCTACATATACACATCAAAACACAACATCAAAACATAAAACAAACTGTCAAAAAGAACCTTCACCTTTACTAAAAGTCTGTCTAAACAACAAGGTTTTCAGCTGCTTTTTAAAAGGCTCCACAGAGTTTAAAGTGCGCAAGCAAAGTGGCAGCGCGTTCCACAGTCTGGGGGCCACTGCTTGAAAGGCTCGATCGCCTCTGGTGTATGTGTGTATTATGAGACTGTTCTGAGCCCATAGCTGTGTGGTTCATAAAAACATTTTCTTACTAAATATCAAGCCACGATTATTGTTTTTATTTTAAATTGTATAATGTCGGACCTTTTTTGCCATCCGCGAGGAAAATAAATGGGGCTCAGAGCCTCAGAATACTGAAATCTGTATTTTTTTCAATATTTTTTTCCTCCTAAATGGTTATTGTTTACATTGCTTTTAAAATCATTCTGTTTGACACGAAAAATCATTTTTGGTGGACACGAATCAATAGATTAATTTCGTGATTTTAACAAGAAATGCCAAGAGACTGGGTTGTTCATGATCATGTGTCATATGTAATGGGTTGTTGCAGCAGTAGGCTAAGTCATACATTGCCATCACCATGAAACTGCAACACCTAACTGGTAGGTAGCATTTATTCGGCTAACTTTATAAACCTGTGCCTTACTGCTGGCTAAAATGTTTGCCATATACAAACTACTCTCAGAAGCAATGAGCAACAGTGCACTTTTAAAACAACCTTTGACAGCTGGGGGACACACAGAGAGACTCACAGAAGCCTAATGAACAGTAAGCTAACGTTTAGCTAACATTTTGAATGTTAGAAAACGTGTCCCTCATTAACCAGCTAGTAAAAATAGAGCATCACAGACATTCCTTTATTATATTTTATTGAAGGTCTGACGGTTGTAATATCTTTTAGGGCGGTGTTTAGTCTGAGCGCATGATAATTACATTAGTTAGATACTTACCTTGTGTAAGTTAGCAGCATACACTTAGCTCAACAGTTAGCTGCAAAATTAGCTGCATGTTAAGTCATTTGAATCAGTATTACTTTTTAGAAGAAAAACACCCATTTAAAGGAACTTACATATTAAAAATAAACAAATAAATCTGTTTCAGCTGACTAATATGCTACACACTATTACTTTAGCATGACAAACAATAGGCTAAGATTAAAACTGAGGCAAGGTAGAGACTATAGCAGCTTTAAGGACAACTACTTGGCATCCATGTCTTTAGTTCATGTGTAACTACAGACAGTACATGGAATTAAATTAACATAGGCCTACTACTTAGAATATAATAATCAAACAATTACATAATAACAACACATGGAATGCTAATTTACACTTGTATAAAGAGCGCCTCACAATAAATGCAATACACCATGAAGATACAACTGGAATCCTGCAAACTTTCATTTTCACTAAGCCATGTTTTGCTTTGATAGTCAATAACACAATAGGCTTTTTATATGTATACTCAGAGGTCATCTTTTGCAAGTGGTGGTTAAGTATAAACCAAAGAAACCCAAATATGCTGCTATTGAATGACCCTTTCTTTCTGTATGTGTGTTTGCTTCGGTCCTTTCAAGGTACAGCGGTAGATACCCTGCTGTGATATTTTATTGAAGTAGCACAAAAGCAACTGTGTTTTACCTATAATGACTGAGCTGTGTTCAGTAAATGAAGGCACCCCTGTAGCTGCATGGCACAATGCTAACCAGAGTGACATATGTGTGCATTTCCTAATGAGGAGTCACTTCCCATGGAGAAACGACATTTCCTTTCACTAAAAGGACAACAACATTGTCATATTAAAGTCCAGATCACTGGGAGGGTAAACACAATCATTTAGGTAAACATTTCTTTCTCTCCTGAACAGCCTCTATTTTAAGCCTCTTTTGCATGTGTTGATTTTCAAATATAGTATGGTACTCGTAAAACTTATTCAAAACATAAAATAACAGTAAAGAAAAAAACGATAGGACTGTCTTTGATGTCTAGAAATTTGACATGCGAGCCAGAGCATGGGATATATTTTTTGAAGGAAAGGGCAAGAGTAAAGTCTACCCAGAAGTCTTTAGTATTCACGCTGAGCTCCATCTTATATTGTTGAGGATCCTGACAAGTACAGCACAGACGTATTTGACTGTGTGTGCAGTGTGTGTACATACTGTGTGTGTGTGGGTCAGAAGTGCATGGCCCCTTGGCAGCCCTGCTGACTGCCTGTCACCCTGAGCATGTTTGTGAAGTAGGCTATGTGGAAAGGAAAATGTAAAGAAACAGATTTTTAATTATGGGCTGGGAGAGAAAAAGTGAAGAATAAAATAAAAACAAGTAATTGAGAGGAGAGGTATCAGGAATGGATAGAGAGGGAAGAACAGGAGGACTGAAATAGAAAGAAAAGGAGGAGAATGAGATGAAGAAAGACGAGAGGAAAGAGTAGGAGGAAGGGCATGTGGTTGGCATAAGGATACAGACAGACAGATGAAGGGATGAAGTGTAGAGACGAATAGTTGCTGACTTTCAGTGGAAAATTCCCCTGGGGTTTCTATATGAGCTTCTCAGGGCCGTCGAGATGTTGTACGAGGAAAGATATATTTTTAGTTTCTTCTTTTATAGAACACTATGGCTTAACACACTTCTTTCTTCCTTTCTGTTTTGCTTCCTTCTTCCCCTCTCAGGTAATATTTGAAGCAGTTTCAGTTCAAGGCCGTCCAGGTTTCATCGCCATCGACGACATAAGAGTTCTGGCTCACCCCTGCCGTAAGTGACTCTGTGTGTGTGTGTGTGTGTGTGTGTGTGTGTGTGTGTGTGTCTGTGTATTTGTGTGTGTATGTATGTGTGTGTGTGTCGTAATGGTTGACCCTGCACAACTGTAGCCCCACTGAGCATCATCTGTTTTATAGCGCACTCACACTCACACACACAGGCTGTGTGAAGGACAGATTGCAGACAGATTGTAGAAAGCCAGGAAGAAGGTCCAAACTCAGGGTCTTCATCACTCAAATCTGACAGAAACACTTAGCTTCACAAAACTCCAGACTGCTTACTGCAACACTCTGTGGCCTACCTACCTCTCTATGTTCACTCATTATTACTCCCTTTAACTATTCTCTCATTACTTTTTTTATAGAGTGTTGCAGAAATTAGTCTGAAAACTTAGAATTATTCAGATTTTTTTTAACAATTTGGGTTCTCTCATTTTAAAGTAAACCATTTTGTTGAACAAGTTCTTGGCTAGATGCTTGAAATAAGGTTTGGTTAACACAAGCTGAAGAGATTTTTACGTTTTGTTGAACAAAATGAGATACGGCAGTAAACATCCCACTAGTAAATGTTCGAAGCTTCAACATATCTTGAAAACTAAATGACACTGCTAAATATCATCACGCCAAACATTAGCCACCTTTAGCTTAGCATCATGTGACCGTGATGTAGTTCCATTATAGCCAAACGTTAGCTTTGTACTTAGGCCGATTGCGCACGATTTACACACACAAATATCATAAAAGTGGTTTTAATATGTGTACATTATCCTGCTGAATAAACGTGTGTTAGACACAAATCTTAATTCCTGCTATATTCCAAAATGCTTGCTTTTTGTCATGGAATCCCTTGCAATGCTAACTTTCGTGTAAAAATACGTCATCACTGCCATCGTGTTTTTGACATCCAAACATAAATTCAAAAATGTATTCAGTTCAATTCAAGGCTATTGGTATTATTTTTGAATTCAACAAACAAATACTGGTAGTCTGAATGGTCCGGCTGGCAAGAAAACTCTCAACTCACCTGTGCCAATCACTAATCAGATTAGTCAAAGTGAGAGAGTCCATGATAAAGAGCAAGCGGTATCCATCATGGAAGAAAGACAATAAGCTGGAAAACAAACATGTTTAGGAGGACAAAAAAAGTTAAAAAAGTCGAAAAAAAAGTTTGTTTAATTTGTGAAAACCTGACTGTCAGAGTGAATTATCATCGGTAATTGGTCGATGCATACTCTGTTAGGCTTATCTCTGTCTGCAGACAGTCCAAATGAAATTAACCAGTCGCTGGCTGGTCTCAATGCCAGGCCAAAGTCACGCAGTGTCTGGCCGTCGCTCTCATTGTCTGCCTGCTCATCTGTCTCAGCTATCCCATGAATTTCCCTGCCTCTCAGACAGCCATATTTCAACTGGATTTATACAGTTGTGCATTTTCCGGTTGTTTCTTATTGCCAGTGGCATCTGCTATTGTAATCCATTGTGGATCTACCATGACTTTGATAACAGGATGGCATCTTTCAGTGGCTTGCCAATTGCTGTAATACAGGATAATTTAACTATTAATATTTTAGAGAGCTTAAAGACCTTTTCAGAAAGAGAGTTCATTTAATCAGGTCCTTAATTCCTTTTAAGAGGTCCCCAATTTTAAAGTATGATTGTTGCAACAAAATAGCCTTTTGTATCTTGTCTGGTTATACAGAATATTCTAGCTGAATGTTTACAATTGTCTGTGTACATTGTTTGTTGCAGGTAAAGCTCCTCACTTCCTGCGTCTGCAGAATGTGGAGGTGAACGTGGGTCAGAATGCTACGTTTCAGTGTACTGCTGGAGGGAAGTGGTCTCAGCACGATAAACTCTGGCTACAGGTTAGTACCTCCTTATCAGTGTGCATGAATGGTATCAGCAGAAAGAGTACATGCGGGACTTCAAAGGAAGCTCACAATGCCCATTATGCCCACATATTCTGGAATATAATTATATAATATTCACATTTTTTGTGAAAGGTAATGCTGCACTGTGGCACAGTGTAATCACTTGTTTATTTAAAAAAAAAAAAAAAGTCTAGTAAATAACAGTCGTTCAGGTAAATCTAATGAAAATAAACAATCATTATTGTCAATATATATATTTGTTTTTCTTCTGATAAAACACTGCAATATGTCTAGTGCAAGCATGGGCTTTCATAAGAAATGCGAAAAGGACATTTTTATGAATCAAAACACCTCTACATTATGGCTCATACCATGCCAGCTTACTACTGTTCTCCATCTCTTTCTTAGAGTTTGAATGTAGAAAAAGATTACTATCCAGGTTTCACCACTGGAAGCTGAGCAAAAATCATGTTGTTATCTTTTAAGATAACTTGCAAATACAAATATATATTTCATAGAGAAATCCGAGCTCTAAATGCAGTTATAATTCATTCAGAATTCTATTTAGGAAAAAAATAATAAAAATTAATGTACTTTGGGGCTGACATCCCCAGCCTTCCCAGCTCTATTTCAGGATTGATTAAAAGTCCTTGTACTGCTCTGCACCAATAACTCCATCTCTGTACATGTGTGTGTGTGTGTGTGTGTGTGTATGTATCATGTGCATGCCTACATACTCTTTCTAGTTTACATATGCACTGGCAAGCTTGCATGTTTTCACTGCACATGAGTGTGTACCACTGAGAGCGCTGCTGTGTAGTAATAACATTTGCAATGAAGAGCAGTGACCCTCCTGACTGCAGGCCTGTGGGGGAAAGCATGTTTCCTTAAATTGGCAGATACTACTACAGTGTTAAAGAAAATTGGATCTGGAGATGTGGGGACCATGTGCAAAGCAGTGCGATGTTTAGTTTCATGTCTGACTTGCTTTGCTAAAATGGCCCCAGTTTCCTGACAGTTTTTGATATCAAATGGAATCATTACTGTGGTGTTTGTTGATGCCTGCCTCCTGGAATTACTGTCATTTCAATACATTTGATGAATAACTTAAACTACTTCCAAAACAGTGAGAGCTTTTGGCAGAGCTACTTTTGCCTCTTTACTTCATATTATTTCTAATAATCAGATACACCTGATAAAGCTACATTATGACAAGCACTATAGCATATTGAAACCCACATCTAAGTGTATTATGCATACTGCAGTTCTGCAAAATCAGAGCTAGATGAATCTAAGAAAATTCAGTTGTATAAATGTCTAGGTCAATGAAACGACCTTCATTTTCCTTAAGAAATTCTATATTTGTATCCAAGGCAGGAGACTCACTCAAAAATGTATTTTACCTCTCTTAATGCATTACTCATAACATGAGGCTGAAAGAGGTGTTCGGTTGACTGACACGTCTCATCTTATTACACTCATTGAGTCGTGGTGGCATGAATCATATTTTCTTGTCTTCCTTCATTCACATATATTTGTATTCATTTTATGCTTCAATTTTTGATTGGTGATTAATGAAAGAATAAATAAAAATCAGTCTAAATTGCATTAGATTGAAGAAAATGTGATCTTTTTATCAGTACTATCCACCAGTGCAACCATTGTGAGCTCTTTACAAAGAGTATACTGTGTATACAGGGATTTTGCTGAAAACCGACTGGTCTTATCTTTCTCATTATGCAGCAGTGGAACGGTAGGGACACGGCACTGATGGTGACCCGGGTGGTGAACCACCGGCGTTTCACTGCAACCGTCAGCGTTGGCGACACATCGCAGCGCAGCACCAGCCGCTATCGCTGCGTCATCCGATCTGACGGCGGATCAGGGGTGTCCAACTACGCTGAACTCATCGTTAAAGGTAAGATCTGATGATCATTTTATTTCTCATAGTGTACAAGTAGGAGGTGACTTACTAGCTTACCACTTTTGAGCAAAACATTTGTGATTAATGTGTATGAGTGAATAAGCTGGGCGATATATCGAGTTTACACGATACATCGTGGATTGCACTACATGCGATGTCGTAAATGACCACATCGTGAACATCAAGTATTATGTTGTCAAATCAGTTTCCCGCCGCGGCCAAAATGAGCTGTCCTTTCTCCCTCATAGACACAGTCACACACGCAGGCACACACGCAGGCCCCGCCCAACTTGCACACAAACATTACACACACGCACAGTGACAGAGAGGCATTTGTTTTGAGGAGAGCGAAAGAAAGGTTAGGTAGTTTAAACCTTAGCACAACATGTTCATTTAAAGAATGAACAACTATGGAAGATAGCAGGCTCGGACTGGCCATCGGGAGGACCGGGAGGTTTCCCGATAGCCTGCCCTGTTAAGTGGCCTGCTGGCCTGAGATATTTTTTTTTGTATGTCTTGTGAATGCAACGCTGGCATAATATGATGTGGCCTGCTGACATGGCCTCTGATAAACACACAAGACTAAAATAATACGTGTTTAATTCAGCCCAGATGAAGTGACTGCAGGACAAATCCATGAATGCGGCAGGCAGGTGTCCAAAATAAAGTTGCACCGGTATGAGGCGCAGTGAGAACCACGCACCTGTCAGACTAGCGATTGGGCACATTTACATTTCAGGAGAATAATGAAGATGGTTGTTCGACTCCGTTTCTCACGAGACCAGTGCGCTGCTGTTTGCATTAGTGTGGACTGGACCGACTGAACTGACACCGGCAGCCTTAAAATTTGTGGAAGGATGGACCCCCATCCTGCGAAAAAAAGGAGGAAAGGTGGTGCAGAGAGGGAAAGGGAGAAAAAAAGCACGCGAGGAGGCAGCGAAATGCGCTAAAATCACAGATTTATTCAGAACGCCCCGTATGGTACAGAATGACGAAGCAGAAAGTAAGTTAGCCAACATTATGAGCCACATTTCTTTCTATATTGTAGCCTGATGTGCACATCGAGCGACTGTCAACAAAACAGTTTCTCAGTCCAATGTTAAGTTAGTGGCAGACCCTGTGTGACTGAGACTGTGAGTCTACAAAAAACCCAAACCTCCTTGTTACTCAAGGCAAATATATGTAGGCTAATATAACCGTTAGACTGCAGCTAACTGTGGGGCTACACAAGTATATATTTTTTGTGTGTTGGTTAAAATCGTTTTAATAGAAACCACTAATGAAGACTGTATAAATAACAATGGTTTAATGCAGACATATGTTGCAAGGACTACTAGAATCATCATACTGGCGTGACTGTAAACATCAAGGGGTTAAATAAAAAAAAGGTACAGTATGTGTTTTAGAGGAAATTTCAGAATATCGCATTATATATCGTGTATCGCGATATAGTCAGTAAATATCGCGATATAATTTAGAGACTATATCGGCCAGCCCTATGAGTGAATGAAAAATGTATCATCTGGATGCAATAAAGTGGGCAACAAGCCTGGGGTGTGTGTGTGTGTGTGTGTGTGTGTTGCTCATTAGTGCTGTGAGAGTACCAAGGACAGAACACTGAAGATATTTCAGTGACTAGAACTCAGAGTAAGCCCATTTTCACCAAACGTTTTCACGTATCTGTCAGTCTTTTCAACTACTTCTGTGTCTCAGGTTCCCTTCTTTGTCATAGAAAGTACAACATTGTTGTCAATTTAAAATAGGAAGCATTTGTTGTATAAAATAAATGTTTTAGGGGTTTCAATTACCCCTGGAGCAGAAGTAGTTGAGCAGGAATCCAGTAAAAGGTGGGATGTATAAAATAATGTTCTACCTTTTACACCCCCATAAAACCTTTGGACGGTATTGCGTTCTTAGTTTCCATGTATTCAACCCACATACCTCTATTATACTTTCTATGTAAGCCTCCAAAGTAGCCAGAGATGCCAAAACACAACACAGACATATGTAGGCTATAGCAGGTTACACAAATAATAAATGTTCTATGTTATGTAATGGGGACACAATAAAACATATTGTTGGCTTTTATGTATTTTACACAGATTCACAAACACTACAGTTTTAGAACAATCAGATAAAACATGATGATGCCAAACTAGGCCTACCTGTATTTATTTCCTATTATCCATTGCTCTTCTTTTCACCCTCATCACTTCTTATTTTCTCTGTCTCTCTTGTATTTATCTGTGCCCCTTAACAAATCCCCTCATGGAGGACATTCAAATCCCCTAATGCAATCTACTCAGCTGTGCCCTTGCACTCAATACAGGGCAGCAAATATTTAGGGATCTCTGTGATTAACCTTCCCACTCTCCATCCCATGGTTCATGTAAACAACAGGAAATACAGTGCTGTCGTTCTTAGAAGGATATTGAGGTTGGATAATGTTGTTGTGAGGTTTTGATAGCATTATAGCGTCACAGCTATCTGTTTTTGTCAGACATAATTACATTCCTTCACGTGTCTCCCATTCTCTCTCTATTGCACTGTGTGTGAATCATCTTACTTTATCCAGGCCTCATTTCACCATCAGCTCATGGCCTTGTCTCCTGGTAAATTGTTGGCATAGAATCAGTAAATAGATTGTATAAAGTGCACTGAGTTTGCTATCAGTCAAAAGAGTGCATGCAAAAATGTTAGCATAAGCCTGCTATCACTGAAGACTAACAGGTTAGTATTAAGCCAACTGTGACTCAATACAGTGTAGCCTGTTGAAAATCTTGACCCGGAACTTATGCTTGTGTTAGCACTGAGCTCTCTCTATTACTGAAGCATTAACAATGTTATGGCATTTAGCAACCCATCATTTACTATGGTGTATGAAGATGTTAATCCTGTGCGTGTTATAACTCAGTAATAAGTAGCATGCTAAAGTGCTGCCACTGAGCCTCTTATTAGCCAAAACAATATGCTTCATTCATACAA